GGTCCTTCCGGGAGGCGCGCGCTCGCATGAGTGTTGCAGACCATGAGAGGCAAGAGGAGGAGCTCAAAAAGGCAGAGAAGAAGGATTCAGCTGCTGCTAATAAGCTTTTCAATGAGAAACTGAAGGAAGAAAAGCGTGCGGCAGCTGCAAAGGCAAAGGAGGTGCGTGAGCGTGAGCGTGCAGAGGAACGCGCAGCCATTGATGCGCGCAAAGAGCAGAGACGTAAGGATAAAGAAGCTCGCAACACTGCAAAAGCTCTCAAAGTACCTCAAAGAGGCAATTGCACAACCTCAAAAGCTTCTGCAGTCAAACAGAAGCCTGCACGTCGTGCTGTGGGTGCTCGTAGTCATCCCAAGTCTGCGACGACTCCGCTACCACGCGCAACTGTCACTACCAGGTCTGGCCGCACCGCCACAAGATACTAGTAACTTTGTATAAGAAACTTTGTTGCGTAGGCCTATAGAATACTCCACCAAAAAAATTCACGATAATAATTACTGTACGTGGCTCTACAGCTTCGTCTTTGTATTTGCAGTGCAGGGGTGGAGCGGGCGTTGTTCGACTCCGGGCGTTGTGCGCACGGACACGGTATTTACCCGCAAAATCTGCCTTTTTTCTAAGACTTTACCTAAGAATAACTTCTTTACAAAAAGAGATATAAAAAGACTCCTTATACTGAAGATATACTGCCTTATAAGCTTTATAACCTCTACATAGAAACCATTTTAAAGTTCCTGCCTTACTTTAAACGCGCCTATAATGCAGCAATAACCTCTAGTAATATTTAGGGGGGGGTTTAGAGGCGCTAGATTAGTTCTATTTAACCTAGAATAGGTTATAACAGGCCTTAACGTTTGACTGCGCACCCTATTACTACTTCCTATCTCTAACAAGCCCTAGTAGTCCTGTGTAACGATCTAGACTCTAAAGCTAAAGAAGAGCTAGAGCTAGCCGGTTACATTAGCTTAGCCAGCTTGGCTTAAGCTAGATATATATTATCTACGCAGTTAACTGGACGTCTGGTTAACTTGTGCATGCTTTTTAGCAAAAGTTGTTAGGAAGTAGATATCCTTTATTGGCCTTTGGCCAGACTACTACATCCTGTACTGTAACGGTCTAGAGTCTAGACTCTAAAGCTACAGAAGAGCTAGAGCTAGCCGGTTACATTAGCTTAGCCGGCTTGGCTTAAGCTAGATATATATTATCTACGCAGTTAATTAGACGTCTAGTTAACTTGTGCATGCTTTTTAGCAAAAGTTGTTAGGAAGTAGATATCCTTTATTGGCCTTTGGCCAGACTACTACATGTACACCCTAGAATACTCTAGAATTTAGGTCTTAATTAAAGCTAATTTAAGAGAAGGTTTAAAAGCATACAGATAGCTCACCTTCCTCTATTGTAAATGCGCTGGAAAAGCTCTCAAAAGGTGCTAAGATGATGGCGCATTTGCTAATGTTAGTGCGCAAGTAGGTTTCTAAGCTTCAAGATGCTAACAGGGCTGCAACACAATATAAATTATATAAAAGAAAGCGCTTACAGTAGGACAGGACTCTAATAGTTAAAGAGGGGTACAATTAACTACTCTAGAGGAGTTTGCAGCGCGTAGTAATAGTAAATGTGCAAAGAAGACAGTGTGCACTAATAAAGGTTAACAGACTGTAAGACGCTGTAAACAGTGCTAGGAGACAGGGCACAACTTGCGCACATGTTAAAAGAGATTATAGATAGCTCTTCTATACTGTAACATGTTAAATTACTATTTGCAGGCCTATAACAGGGTGTTATAGGCTAGAATAGAGTTAAGTTTTGGTGGGGTCTTGGCAGAGTGGGCGACTCACCCATCTGGGCGACTCACCCATCAGGTACGTTAGGAGTTCTTTTATATCTCTTTTTATTAAAATATTATTCTTAGGTAAAGTCTTAGAAAATGGGCAGGTTTTGCGGGTAAATACTAGGCGTTGGTTGACTCCGGGCGTTGGTTGACCTAACACGGTATGGGGAAGTGGAGACGTTGCGGTCTTCAACACTAGTTGATTGGACCACCGAAGGTCTGCTGCCAAGACCTAGGATCGCGGAAACCTCGCGATTCAACATCACGACTGCATCGCCAGCAACATTCGCGTTTGCACGTCGCCATGGCCAAGAAAGGTATGCAAATATTTTCGTTATCCTTGAAGATGTCTCCATGCAGACACAATCGATGAAGACAGGCGCATCAAGCCGCCACCGCGACCTCCATGTTGAACCTCAAAGTCAACATCACGAATTGCGCTGACGCACGAGCCCAACAGCAAAGTCCCGTACCATCATGGTGCGCCTCATCTCGATGGCCATGACCGGATACTACCGCACAATGCAACGGCCACGTGCTCATCAACCACTGAGCATGCTGAAGTACGATCCTATCGGTACGAACTGCCCACACTACACTAATGAGAAAGCTGCGCACACTGCGCAGATGGATGCGCACAACCCCGAATCAGCCCAACAGCACGGAGGAAATTAATTGGCGCAGCACTGGCCTCGAATAATCAAAAAGAAGAAGCCAGAACCAATATGCTGACCAAACGGCAGTACGAAAGCAAGTGCTTTTCCTTGAGGCCAAACGTGGAAAGAAATAATTGGACACCCATTGTCACGCATTGTAGCGTCAATACACCACGAGACACGCCACGAATCGAGCATTTGGAAAGTGGGAAAACATCTGCGCGCACGAGACGTGGCATCACCAAGTTGGGAGGGGCGACGCGCTCCGTACCCACAGGACAGACCTCTGCAGTCAAGATATGTACAATAACTGTACGTGCATTCTACCATATACAGTATAGCATGGCGTTATAGATGGATTCGGCAGATACAGGGCAAGAGCCCTCGAATACAACAACATAAGGAACTCGCGCTAGGCGCTGATCCCTGGAATGCAGTGTACTCCAACAACGCTCTGCTCACTGACTTTCTCTTTTTGCAATGTTTGCAAGGTAACCCTATACCTATTGTCCCTCATCATTTGGCTGCTTTCGCACTGTTCGGAGTTCGGCACCAGCACTCCCTGCCACGAGGGTGCTGAGGGCCAAGCGGAGCGGATTTCTGCGGCGTTCGTCATTGTTCTTGGCTCCGCTCCTGCACTGCCAACCTTGTGTCAACACAAGCCATCTCCAAGACAACACAACTTTGCGGCCCAGCATCGGGTTGCCCATTCAGAAGTGGCGGGCCTTGACCGACGGCCGTCAGTGGCGCTTCTTCGCTGCCATTACTTATGATACCAGCAAAACATCTCATCTGCATCCAGGCCCAGTTGACACAAATTATAGAGACATCAGAAGTATTCATAAGCGCAGAAGTGAGCTCCATTCGCAGTGAAGAACTACGTCATTCTCGACCGCGATCGTGTGACTTCGTCAGCTAGCATTCAACACACCCGTTTATTGAGGCTGCACAGACCGACCCACTCGAGTACAGGGATGCTTGAGCCGCATCTTTTCCTGCGCGTCCCTCACAACAATTCCTCCACGAAACCACTCGGGCTACTCAAAACGGCAATTCGGCCACGCGCAGTCCTTGATTTCTGGGGGTGGGAGCTTTTCGGTAAAGCTAGCCATTCCGTCTGTAGGACGACAAGACCATAGTGCGGCATTGCTTGGCCAACAGCGGACCATATCCGACCATCATCATCACTTTTGGTCCACCTTCGCAGGAGCCGAGGTGAGGCTATAAGATGGCGCCTACCCCGGAGTCTGTTCATAGTGCTTTACGCCTTGCCAAAGGTCTTACGATCGCATCAATTCACGCAAACATGGATTCGAGAAAGAACTCGGAGAAGTCTGAGCGCGAAGACGAACGCCTGGAGGACACAGCCTTTCCGCGCAACAATACGCTTCACGACACACGAGCACCACATCATCAAAAGCAAACTACGCAAGAAAAGGCAGCTGACCGCAGAAGAGGCACAGCCGGCGTCTTCCAAAAGCTCGGCGATCTGCCAGAATGGAAAGCCCCTGGATATGGACAGCTTCGCGGCAAGGCTCTGAACAACGGTATCGCATGGGCATCGTGCTTAGCCTTTCTCATGTTCGGTACATTCCCTAATATGCGAAATATCGAACATTGAAACTGACTGCAATTAGGCTATGATCAGGGTGTAATGTCAGGTCTTCTCACCCTTGACGACTTCCAACGACATTTTCCACTGATGACACCACTATCTCGTGCCAACAATCTCTGCTGGCTGGACTCGCCAGTTAATACTGTCAGAGATGAGCAGATGTGCACCGGAGATGCTAACACCCAAGCTGCTGCCGTCGCTCTGTATCAGGTGGGGTGCTTCCTTGGCGCTGTATTGATCCTATTTTACGGAGAAGTATGGGGTCGTAAGAGTTCGACGTTCTGGGGCAGCTTCATCATGATCGTTGGGACAATCTTCCAGGTCGCTGCGGGTGGTACCAATGGAGGAGATACAGCTGCATATGCTGTCTTGATCGTTGGTAGAGTCGTGGGTGGTATTGGAAACGGCATGGTTACGTCCAGTATGTTTGATCGATCGATCGATTACACAACCGGACTCTTGCTGACGAACACAGCTATTCCGACGTGGCAGTCTGAGTGCGCCAAGCCAGAGAAGCGAGGACGGCTCATAATCACGTCTGGCGCTATCATTGTGGCTGGTGTCATGATCTCGTACTGGATCGGCTATGGCTTCTACTTCCTCCCCGCCGGCATGAGCTACAGTTCAGTTCGATGGAGGTTTCCTGTAGCGTTTCAGTCTTTCTTCACCATCATCGTCATGTACGCGCGTCCGTTCACCGATATTGCCTCCATCACTGACTTCTGACAGGTATATGCTCCTCTATCTCCCGGATAGCCCGCGTTGGCTCATGATGCGTGGTCGTGAAGAAGAAGCAAGGAGCCTGCTAGCTCGTCTCGCTGATGCCGATATCGACTCCGAAGTTGTCTCCCTAGAGCTGTCCAATATCAAAGAAGCACTAGCTGCTCAAAGCTCGATGGGAGTGTTCAAAATGCGCGAGCTCTTTACGAACGGCCCGTCGCAGAACCTGCGCCGCACGCTGCTCGGTATCGCAGCACAGTTCTTCCAACAAATTTGCGGTATCAACCTGATTGTAAGTCACATGTACACTCGATCAACGCCCATAGCCCATGGAGAATGCGCTGACGTTGACAGACATACTACGCCACCTTCGTCTTCGAGAATTCCCTCGGTTTCGGCCCAGACATGTCGCGCCTCCTCGCTGCCGCAAACGGCACCGAATATTTCCTCGCGGGTCTCATTGCTATTCCCCTAATCGAACGCGTTGGTCGGCGCAAACTCATGCTCTTCGGCGCTTTTGGACAAATGTCCTCTATGATCATCCTCGCTGGGTCATCCTCTACCGCCGTCATCGACGATCTCGGTGCACCCCGCCTAAACACAATCTATGGCGTGCTCGCTACCGTGTTTCTATTCGTCTTCAACACATTTTTCGCCATTGGCTGGCTGGGCATGACATGGTTGTACCCTGCTGAGATCACAAATCTGAGGATCCGCATCCAGGCCAATGCGCTCTCCACATGCAGCAACTGGCTCAGCAACTTCCTCATCGTCATGATCACGCCGCCGGCCTTCGCGAATCTGCAGTACAACACGTACACTATGTTTGCGGTGTTCAATGCTGCGCTGTTGCCGGCGGTGTACTTCTTTTTTCCTGAACCGAAGGGTAGAAGCTTGGAAGAGCTGGATGTTATTTTTGCGAAAGCGCATGCAGAGGGTATCAGTCCTGTCAAGATGGCGAAGAAGATGCCGAAGTTGGAGGGCAGGGATCTTGATATTGAGATTGCAAGGTATTGGGGTGGGGATGTCGAGGAAGTGAGGAGAAGAAGTATTACCAGCATGCAGGAGAGGGAGCGGAGGAAGAGTTCTGTTGGCGTGCGGCAGTAGATTGTTGGTTTCCGCAACATGTGGATTGACAGCAGTCGCTCGGCATCCTTTCGCGATCCCGTGTTGCGCCTGTCTTTCCATACGGTCCGGCGAGCGCGATCACTCGGTCACATATCTCTTGCTGAGATAAGCCTAGAAGATGCTCACTTGAGCTGCAGATCATTCAGATAATACCTGAAAGAGTTTGTGACGGATGAAACTCATTGAAGCTACATTATATGTCGGAGCCCGACCTCCACCAGCCCCATACACAGCCGTCTGTCTGTCTGGGACCTGGGTATCGATCTAGCGTCCTGTACCGCATCATTCTTGCCCATGCTTGCTCCCTCCTACCCTTCCGTTCTTTTACTTCGGCACTTGGACTATCTTCACGACGGCCGCTGCGGTGGGTATAGTGTTGCTGTCCACCAACGAGGCTTCTTCTTCTTCCCTTGGTGCCCTGCCGAAATTCCCTCGATGCGGTGCGTATGTTTGCTCTTGACGCGGTGTAAACACGGGCCATATGGGGTATGAGCGCGCTGTCTACATACATGCCTGGCTGAAGACTGAGAATGGAATGAAGATGGTGACAGGGAAGATCTAGAGATGTCAGTGTGTGTGTCACGTTTCTTTGACTTCTGAGAGCGATGACTTGTCTTGGGTTCAGATATGAGCAAACATGCTCGTATTGTATAGATTTACGCTCTTCTGCACCACTTTATAGCCAGTCCTGCGATATGCCGGTGCAGAAATAGTGGTGCAGGAAAAGCCATGACGAACCACCCTCAGAGAAGATACACGACGGTGGATCCGATGTACCCCATTGTCTGCGGTGCATTGTTATGGGCGACATTGATGTAGATGGTCGCAATCGAGCAGCGTATGAGGAAATTCGGTCGTATTGAGAGCCTAACTACCAGAAGGTGTTCATGTGGGTAAGCGTGAGGATTTCGATCCGCGGGATGAGGCTAGGGAAAGCTAGTCGAGCTCGGGATTGATACGTACCACGAGATACGGGCGACTATGTGCAGAAGGCCTAGGGCTTATCACATTATGCACAACTGTTGCAGCAAACGTAGTCGCTGTATATCGATGGAAAACTGCACTGAGTTACTTGCTAGCTAGGAGGCGACCATATATACATGCCCTGAGACGTGTTAGTCCAAGGTAGTCAACAGAGGTGACGATCAAGACCTATGGGACCGACTTGTACCGCAACGGAAGTAGATGAGAAGAGGCTGGAAATTTTTCTTACTTACTAGAGGTCACCAATTCACCTCAAGCACCCACGCATGCATCTCATCATCACCTCATAAAAATCATGACAGTGAGGAATAGTGAAAAAAATACTAAGCTTAAGACAAAGGAGTACTCACTCCCCGAATCGCAGATCCAGAGCCGCTCACCGAGCTCTGCACAACGAACAGTTAGCAGGAGTCATTGTTATACTAATCTTTCGAAGCAAAACAGCTGTCAATATTAGTTCAAAGCCCCTGTGTGCCCTCATGAGGTCGGTATACAACATTCATCAGATTGACAAATGGACGGGGGAAAGGATACCAATGATTTACTTTTCGTGAGCTGGAGTAAGATTTTTGCGAATGCCTTCGCAATGGCGCTGAATTATCAGTAGCAATCCTACATATTTCACGTTTTATCAAGGTGGTGGGTTAGATAGAAGGAGATGAGCGCGCCGACATACCTTGCAGACGTTACACAAGACCCACTCCGCAGGTCCTGCGTCTCGAACGTGTCCGCTGAAGCCGAAATATACCCACAATAGCAATGATTACGTGCAAAGATTAGAGACATTTGTCGCCACGGAGCTCCGAACGAGGAGTTGTTTTGAGGTGATCAGGTTTTCATCAACCTAGATGAGTGATCCTGGGAAACAACGGAAACGGACGCCGAAATACCTTTCAGACTCCATGAGATCATTGCCTGGCTCACTATCATCTTGCTTCGGTCAGTCAATGGTCGCAAAATAGGACAGAAGTCAGGAGGAAAAGTCAGGATCAGAGCCCTTCGTTCGTCCTGGGCCTCAGACGGAAAGAGAAAGATTCGAAGAGGTATCCATCATCCTAGGTGAGCACTGCAGACATGCAGGAAGAAGAGATACCGATATACCTCCTGTGAATCCTAGGCAACGTACTCTCGATTACCGTAGTACTGACTATTGCAAACGCTGGGGATCGTGCTCGACCTACTGGTCAGTGTTGGGGAAGAGAGGAAGAGACGTACCGTCGTTGTGTGACTGGCTAAAGTTAACGTTAGAGATCCTGTCTGGAATCAGCAAAAGTCCTGAGCCTTGAGGAGCATTTGAAAAAGAAAAGGCAGAAGCAAAGGCATGTACGAGCTCGACATCCAACTGCGTGACACGTTCGGACAGGCGCAGTCACCGGGGAATCTTTTGCGCGTCTAAGTGCAAGCTTATCTTGCGCTACCGGCACGATGCAACGAGAGGCCCGTTAAACCCAAGTCCTCCTGCCAGGCGCATGTAGACGCTGGAATTGCGCAGCTTCTGTCATGGTGTTGTCCTCAGATCCTCGTATATGCCTAACAGTGAAATATCAGCGACATGAAGGATCGCTCTCATTGCCGTAGGCCGAAGCTGTATTACCCCTAGATCCCTCGAGCTAGAAGTTGGTCGTTGATGTTGGCTTGTGGTTTGGAGAGAGCTAGGAGGGGACTCACTCCGTACCTTGAGCCGTGAGTCGAGGGCAGAAAAGAAAACTACTTACCTGTTTCGATGAGTAAGGTGTGTTTCGGCAGACGTAGCAGCTGTATAGTTGATGGAAACTGCGCTGAGTTGCTTGCTAGCTATGAGGCGACCATATATACATGCCCTGAGACGTGCTAGTCCAAGGTAGTCAACAGTGGTGACAATCAAGGCCTGTCGGACTGACTTGCACCGCAACAAGGTGCTCTGTGCAATGGTCGAGCATGCCCCTCGGTGGATGCAAGGTATCGAAATTGAACCCTGTACTTAACATCACATCGTTTGGCAGAGGGAATAGATGTACGAGCAGGAACACCAACGTGTAGCACAGAGAGGCTTTGCCAGAACCACCGCTGCCACCGTGGACTTGTCTTACGTCGACGCCGAGTGTCCGAGACCGCACTTGCCACTGACTACCTCAAAAATACTTCTCCAGCTTGGCTCTCAATGAGCGTGCGAACTTTTCCTTGTGGCGTGGAGCATCATTGTAGGCCTCACCCAGGAACGGATATGGTACATGGGTACAGAGATGAGGAGCTCGTGTACTGAGTGCGTCAGAGGCCGGAGGGTGTCGCCGAGGCGACGAAGGAGCGTAACTTGGGATGAGATAGAAGCTGAGAACTCTAGGAGCTATGGTGTGATCCATGGTATTGGGTTGCTGCTACCGAGGGGTTATCACCTGATGAGGGTGTTAGTGAATGCGCTCACAATGCGACAGAAGGTCTCCAACTTACTGCGGCACGGTGCCGCGAAGACAGCACAATGCCGGTGTACTTCAAATAGGTATTGAACGGTAAGACTTAATCAAAAAAGATTTTTCGAAGGCCATGCTCGAGGTGAACAATGGCCTTGCGGGCCGCCGGAAATCTTTGTTCAGTACGGCGTGCGCAGTCCCGCCGTGAAGGTGTCGGTACTGCGCTGGGTACGAAGCTCGCGCTCGCGGTCAGCTCCGGACTTCATATTCACTTTAAAGGTGTTTACTATTTTATCTCTCTCGTCTGCGTCACCTTCGAGCCACGGTAGAGGTTGTTGCCCTTGCCCGCAAGCTCGCTGCCGCCGCCATGACAGAAGCTGCAAGCAACAAGTCCACGACATGCGACACGTACTCCAGCTCTGAACGATAGATATAGTTATAGTAAGGGGGTACTCACTCTGCTCTTGATGGTTGTGAGGCTGTACGCTCACAGCCTTGCTGGCGATGGGGAAGCCAGGCGACGGTGCGCCAGCTTCGTCTGCAGATAAACGGGGAGTGGAGTACCAATCTTGGACCCGAAGGAAGGTCTATTAGGGTGGCGTTATTGTGGAATTGAGTAGTTCAATCAGCTTGCGGTTGTTGATGGCAGCTTGGAGCTCTACGAGCTCGATGCTCGCAGAGCTGCAACGCGCCCGAGGCTCAACAAAGGGGCGGGCAGATCATAACTATCGTGCACGACATGAGTCTGAAAGATTCGAGTGGTTGAGTAAATGTAGGAAGAGATTTATGGTGGTGCGTGGTTGAGAGCGTGGTGATGAAGGGAAGAGGGAAAAAAAGGTGGGAAAAGTGCGCAAGGCACTTGAGCATCAACATCAGGTCCAAGCGGGGCAGGCACAACAAACTGTACTCTCCAGCAGCCTAGGTCCTGTTATCAAGCTTGCACTAGCCACATGAGCACATTCACTAGGCTGATACCATTGGTCCAGCAGATATGCACCGGGTAAGTTGAGATCTACCTTCTGATATTGCTGATCTGTGACTGTTAGTGTAGACGTATTGACACCATATTATCCCTAGTTGTTCGCCTTGTGTTCTTCTTACCGCGCGTTATTCATCTCTGCCTCTGCACGAATGAGCACGGCACATGAGCTCGACCCCTCCCTGCTCGTCCGCAGCCCACAGTGTGTTATGACGCCACAGTCACCTAACGACAGTATTGGGGAGAAGCTCCCTACTGATGCTGCATGCTAGTCCCGTACTGCGATATTAATACTGCACACCGCCGTCAGTACGCAAAATTGACTGCAATGCATCCGCAACTTACGATCACCATCTCCGCCTTCCTGTTCACCACCACGCATTGGCCCCAACAAACACACTCGTGTGTCCTTGCCCAGAAAAGTACTACGTTAAACTTTTCCA